AGGTCGGTGGCCACGGCCATCTCGCAGCCCCCGCCGGCGGCGAAGCCCTCGATCATGGAGATGGTGGGCGTCCCCATCTCGGTCAGCGCTTCCAACAAACCGTTTACCGCGTCGTTGTAGCCCCTGCCCTTTTCCGAGTCGGAGCGATGCTTGTGGAAATCGGCGATGTCGGCGCCGGCGGAGAATGCCTCGCCACCCGCGCCGGTGATTACCACGCAGCGGACGTCGTTGTCGGCATCGAGCTGCCGCATCAGAGCGGCCAGATCGTGCCACATGTCGAAGCTGATGGCGTTGCGCTGTGCCGGGGCGGTTGATTGTGACGGTGGCCAGCGGCGGCTGGCGGTCGAGGATGATGTAGTCGTTCACGTTGAGTGCCCTTTCTAAATGATGCATTTGCTCAAAGTGGGGCCCTGATATCAGTCGTCTGCAGCCCTAATATCGTTTCCCTGCGCCTCTTCAGTTGTCGCTATACCGTACTTGGCGAGAATCGCGTCCACGAAAGGCTTCAGCACTACTTCGGCGCAGTCGATGCGAATGGCGACAGCGGATGTCGGCGCGTCATCTACGTCCTTGTCATAGTGGACGAGAACGCCCTTCGCCATTTCCTCGGCTACTTCGCTGGCTTCCCCGTTTTCGATTATGAGCACCTGATATTCCGGCTCATAAATTACCTTCGCCATTGGCAGAGGCGGCAATTCGATTCCATTCACTGGTTGTTCCATGGTCGGCCCCCGTATTTTCGCTCCAATCTTCTGTCATTATAGGCGGTCAGGAACAAACCAGTTTCTGGATCGCCGACAAAAACCAGCTTTATCCACTGGTTAGATTCCGGCACGCGTCCAACAACGATCGTTTGCATTTGTCCTTTTGGATCCAGTTCTTCTTCACGGTGGTAAGGTTCAGCAATGATCCTCATCACCCATTCCGGTTTGACATTGGAATGCCGCAATAGCGCGGCGTCGCCGTGCCCAGGGACCTTTGGTAGTTCGTCGAATGCACGGCGGAGGCGGGCGATTTCGTCGGCGTCGCTACTCATGATCCAGGAGCTGGCTAAGAACGCGCCTGACGATGTTGTTGGCCATCCTAATTTTATACCCATTCTGCGGCAGCGGCGTGGCGTTGGGCAGGGCGAGGGCGGCGGCTTCGCTGGGATCCACATCGTTTGCGCGGCGACCTACGAGATACGCCTCCACCTCGACAGCGCGATAGGGGACGGGAGCGACGCCGCCGAGCGCGACGCGGGCCTTGCTGATTGTGCCGTCGCCGTCCAGCGTGAGGGCCGTGGCCACACTGACTAGGGCGAAGTCGCCCGACTCCCGCTCCCGCACCTTCAGGTACACGCTGCGCTCCGGGGCGTCGGCGGACAGGCTGATGCGGGTAATCAGTTCGCCCGGCTCCAGAACGTTCTCGCGGAGCAGGTCGCGTCCCGGTCCGGCGAAAAACTCGCCGATCGGCAACTCCCGCCTGCCGTTTGGCCCGGCAATTTCCAGCTGTGCGTCCAGCGCCGAGAGGGCAACGGGGTGTCTGATGGATGCACGATGTAGCATCGGTCGCCACCAGTGACGCAGAGCAGGCGTGTGTTGCCGGCGAGGGCGTAGCAGCGATCGCCTCCCTTCTTGAGGCAGGGAATCAGCGGGCTGCGGTAGTACCAGCAGCGGGGTCGCTGGGCAAGATTGCCGCCGATGGTGCCCTCGTTGCGGATCTGTGGCGTCGCCAGTCCGCCAGCCGCCTCGGCCAGTGCAGCATAGCGGCGGCGAACGAGCTGATGCGCAGCAATGTCGGCGATGCGGGCCACTGCCCCGATGGTCAGGCCTCCTTCGGGCGTCTCCTCGATCGACGCCAATCCCGGGATGGCCGCCAGCCCCACCAGTCGCTCCGCATCCACGATGCCGTCCCGCACCTGCGGCAGCAGGTCAGTGCCACCGCCCACAGCCACCGCTCCGGGCTGCGAGAGCAAGGCCACCGCTTCGTCGATGGAATGCGCATCGGTGTATTCGAACCGGGGCGTCATTTGGCTGCATCCTCCTGACCTGCTTCCAGAGCCATCAGCACTCTGTCCGGCGTGAAGGGGGTGCGGTGGAGGCGGACCCCGGTGGCGTTGTAGATGGCGTTGGCGATGGCGGGGGCCACGCCCACGGTGGGGACTTCGCCGAGGCCCTTGGCTCCCAGCGGGCCGACGGGGTCGACGATGTCGGCGAAAATGACCTGCGTGTCTGGGTAGTCGAGGATGGTCGGCGACTTGTGCTCCAGGTATCCGGCGTTCAGGGTCACGCCGGTGGCTGCGTCGGTCACCAGCTCCTCGCACAGGGCGAATCCCAGCATCTGGCTGATGGCGCCCTCGGCCTGGTTCAGCGCGGTACGGGGATTGATGATGCGCCCCGAATCGTGGGCCGCCACGTAGCGCAGCACCCGCACCCGGCCTGTGTACGTGTCGACCTCCACCTCGACAAAGTGGGCGCCGAAGAGAGTTGACGATGTGCCCCGTGCTGCCGGGGATCACCGACGCGGTGGCCGAAAGCTCGTTCCCGTCCATTCGCCCGGCCACCTCGGCCAGCGACATGCGGCGGGATGGGTCGGACCTGACGAACACCCAGCCCTGGGCGACGTCAAGGTCGAGTACAGGGACCTCCAGCCCTGACGAGGCCAGCTCAAGCAGCGCCTCCCGCACCTCCGTTGCGGCCTGCACCACGGCGGTGCCGGTGGAGAACGTGGCGGTGGACCCAGCGGTTATGGGTGCATCGGGCGTGCCCTGCGAGTCGGCGAACACCGCCTCAACTTGGTCGTATTCCGTGCCCAGGACCTCGGCGGCGATCTGGGGCAGGACGGTAGTCGCGCCCTCGCCGACGTCCATCAGGCCGGTGATGAGCTTGATGGCGCCCGACTTCTCCACGCGGACCTCAGCGGCGGAGGGGGAGCCGGGGCCGCCTCGGTAGATCATGATCGACATGCCGCGTCCACGTTTCAACGCCGGGTCGGCGGACGTCGCCGGGCAGTAGTCGTGCCAGCCGAAAGCCTCTGCTCCCAGCTCCAGGCACTGCTGCAGGCCGTTGCTGGAGAAGGGGATGCCGCCTTCCAGCGGCTGGCTATCGACCACGCGGTCGGGCGGCGTGACTCGTTGGCCCGGCTGTCCCTCGGGACGAACATGGTTCATCAGTCGAAAGTCCAGCGGGTCCATGCCGAAGTGTTCTGCGGCACGGTCCATCAGGCTCTCCAGGGCGAAGTGACCCTGCGGCGCGCCCAGGGCACGATACGAGCCGGCGGTGGGCCGGTTGGTGTAGGCCAGATGGGCTTCGTATTTGGCGTTGGCGCAGTGGTACAAATACAGGATGCCCTGGCCGGTACGGCGAGCCACGCCCGCGCCCGATGCCAGGTAGGCGCCGGTGTCCAGCAGTGTGCTGGCCTCAATGGCAGTGATGCTGCCGTCGGACTTGAACCCGGCCCGGATGTGTATCGTGGCGGCGTGACGCACTCTTCCGGCGATGAACTCGTCCTCGCGCGAGTACTCAAGGCGCACCGGGCGTACGGCCCGCTGGGAGAGCACGGCGGCGAGGGCTGCGAGCCGCGTTTCGTCCTTGTTTCCGTAGCCCGCGCCCAGGTGGGGTCCGACGACGCGGATGCGATGGGCGGGAATCCCCAGCGCACCGGCGAGGGCGTCCCGGTCGACGTGGACGCCGCGGGTGGTCTTCCAGACGGTCAGGTCAACTTCCTCGTCCTCGCCCCACGATGCCAGTGCGGCTCGCGGCTCCAGCGGCGAGGCCGAGTGGGTGGGAATTTCGAATTCATCCTCCAGCACGACGTCGGCCGCGGCGAAGCCCTCGGCGACGCTGCCTCGCTCCAGTGACAGCACCTCCCCCAGGGCAAGATTGCCGCCGGGGTGGATGGCGACGGCATCCGCAGCCAGCGCGGCCTCGGGCGAGATGTAGTGGGCAGGATAGAGATATTCGACGCGAAGCAGTTCCAGCGCGGCCCGGGCTGTGTCCAGATCGTCGGCGGCTACCGCTGCCACCTCGTCGCCCACGAAGCGGACGCGGGTGTCGAGAATGGCGAGGTCGGGGGCCAGCCGTCCCGCCGGGACATCGAAGGGTGTGACCACGGCACGGACACCGGGAAGTTTCAGGGCTTCGGAGGCGTCCACGCTGATCACGTCGGCGTGGGGGTGCGGGCTGCGCAGTATGGCGCAGTGAAGCATCCCCGGCAGCTTGAGGTCGGAGGTGTAGCGTGCCTCACCGGTCAGCTTAATTCCAAGTCGCGGCGGACCACGCTGGTGCCGGCAACATTGAGCGTCATCGGAACTTCCCTGTGCGGAAAATCATCGGCAAATGCCAAGGACGCAGAGACAAGGATTCAAAACTCTCTGCGTCCTCAGTTGGACTCTTGGCAAACTCCGCGTGCGAACGGATTCGTTAGATTACGTGGAACAGCCTGAGGTGTTCGCGCAGAACATCGGCGGCGAAGTCGTTCTCGATGTCGCGCCAGACCGAGTGGATGTGGTTGGCGCCGTCCTGACGGTTGTCGAACTCCACCACGAAATTGCCGCCGTGGATGCGGTAGTAGTGGGGATCGTTCTTCGATACCGGCCCTGCCCAAGCCAGGTGGAAGTGGTCCAGGCCCTCCTCGCGGATGGCGGCCAGCTTCTGCTCGGCCAGGTCGGTGACGCACCTGCCCCACGTACAGCGCGACCAGGTTCAGCAGCGTTTCCTTCTGCCCACCGCTCATATCCGCAGCTGCCAGCCCCTGCGGCTTGAATGGGAAGGAAACCTTGGTGCTGTTGTAGGTCAGGATGTCCAGCGGCGCCTCTTCGTAGATCGTGGCGGTCGCTGCTGTCCTTCGTCCAGGCTCTCCATAAGCTGGAAGGCCAGGTCCTCGCGGTCGCCGAGGATGCGGAGGCCCTGCTTGGGACCCTTGCGCACTTCGGCGGGGTTGGCACCGAAGAAGAACGGCGTAACCGAGATTACGTTGTCGCCCCAGATGCTGAAGTGCAGCGAAACATGGTGTCCCTCGACGCGCCAGCCCCACGGCTCCTTGGTTCCCGGCTCGCCGAAGATGGTGAAGTAGTACAGCTCAATATCGCGCACGAAGGTGATCATGCCCATTTCTTTTTCAAGCGGGCCGAGGACGTCCTCGTGCTCGATGATCTGCCGGGTCTGCTCGTAGGAGCGGGGGGTTAGCCCAGAGGCCCAGCAGGGCAAAGGCCAGTTCTCGCTGGTTGGCGTCCATGTCGCGAAGGGCCAGGCCATGGCGGTTGATAGGCGGGTAGTACCAGTACATCCGCTCGCCATCCATATATTCGAAGGTGGCCCTGGCCGTCTGCTCGGTGGTCAGGCTGTCGAGGAAGCGGCGGGCGGCGGCGGCCATCTGGGCGGCGGCCTGCGACCCGGCTTGAGCGGGCGCCCCGCTGCTCTGAGACTGAACTGTAGCCATGCTGGAAACCTCCTAGCAGGTACGGATTCACGATTTGTGTGCGAGTTTATGGGTGGGGTAAGGGCGCGTCAACAAAAGGGTAGCCACGCACATTGCAGCCTATTCACCCCTGAGGCGGCGCAGCTCCTCCTGGAGTTCACGGACGCGGGTTTCAGCGGCGATGCGAGCCTCACGCTCCTCCGGTATGGTAACCAGGTAGTGTTCCGCCACGGGGGTCGTACCAGCGAAGCTGGCCATGCTCCCAGCAGAGGTCGAGGTTCAGCACGTCACTGTGCCCCCGGAAATTCCCATCCTCCGTGTCATGTATGCGAATTGGCTGGTACTCGTTGCCGACCAGACGGTCGCCCGCGAGATGAGTGCTGTGGAAGTCGCCGCCCGATGGGTCAAAACGCCAGTACTCGGGGACACCAAACTGGGCATAGTCCCGTCGTTTCCGGCCCTCGTCTATCCGGCCAGTGCTTTCCGACCCGACTTCCAGAACGAAATCGGGTGGCTTGCCCTGCTCCGGAATGAGGTAGCCGTTGCGAGGGATGATGGCCTCCGGGCGAGCGTCGAAAGCGATCAGCAGGTCGGGAAAGCGCACACCCACCCGGTCCTCAGATACGAAGAGCGCCGCAGCGACCTCGCTGAGAATAACGGTAGTATCCGGGCTGCCGAAATGGAGAGCCAGGAAACCGGGGTAGCCCGGGAAATTCACGTGATGGTAGCCGGTCACTTCTTCTGGCGGTACGTCTGGCAGCTGGGCTATCTTCCCTGCGTCCGGCGGATCCGAAACTGGTTTCGTTGTCATTTCGGGCCTCGCGAATTGCGAGTTAGTTCGTGTGGAATTATACCCCTACTGCAGACGCCCCCGAAGTTCTTACAGCCGATCAATCCGGCTCCCTGCTGGAAGCGGCGGTGCGGACCGACTGGAGGATGCGGCCGTAGGCGTTGCAGCGGCAGAGGTTGCCGGACAGCGCCTCGCGAATCTCCCCATCGCTGGGATGTGGGTTGGCGTTCAGCAATGCGCGGGCGGACATCAGGAATCCGGGAGTGCAGTATCCGCATTGTCCGCCGTCCTCGTCGAGGAAGGCTTGCTGGATCGGGTCGAGGCGCCCGTCGCTGGCCAGACCCTCCACCGTCAGGACGCTGCGGCCCCTCACCTGGCCCACCAGCGTGATGCAGGCGTAGATCGGCTTGCCGTCCAGCAGCACGGTGCAAGATCCGCACTCCCCTCGGTCGCATCCCCGCTTGGCGCCCGTGAGGTTAAGATCCTCGCGCAAGACGTCCAGCAGCGACCGGTGGCTGGCGACGGTCACGGTGTGCGGCTGGCCATTTACATTCAGTTGAACATTGACATCAGTCATGGGCCAATTAAAACACAGAAGGCGCAGACTCAACAAAGCCGAGGTCGGCTCGTTGTTGCCTGCGCCTCAGCGGCGGGCGTGGATCGACTGCTAATTCAGCGTCTCAGTCAGCGACTCCTCGAGCTCAGTGAGGGTGGCAAACCCCTCAAAGCGTTCCAGTACGCGGCCATCGGCATCCAGCACAAAGGTCCATGACTCATTGAACCAGTGCGGGAGCCGGGTCAGACCCCATTCATCCACGGTGGGCGCGATGCGGGCGCGGGTCAGGTCTCCCTGAATTTCGTCGGGGTTGTCGTAGAGTTCCACGTGTATGAAGTGGGCCCGACCGTCGTACTTGACCCGCAGTTCCGACACCGTGTCCACCTGGGGGCCACACGTAGCGGTGGTACAGAAGGCTGGCGAGGCAAATACGACCACGGCGGGAAGTGGGCTCTCCACCGCTTCTCGGACGGTAACCTGGTACAGCGACTCATCAGGGCTATAGTCGGTGGTGATCAGGGCCAGGTCGCCAAATGCCGAAAGGGTCTTGTTCTCGCTGAGCGGCGAAATGACGCCCAGGGCCGGCACTGGAGACTCTTCCAAAACCTCGAATTCCTGCACGGCCCACCCGGTGGCGTCGGGACCCTCGGCGCTTATGTCTAGGCGCCAGGCCCCAGGGCGGTCGAAGTCCACCGCGGCGGCGAAGGTGCCGCGAGTGCCGTAGGGCCACTCGTTGAACCGGGTGGAGATTGTCTGCCCTGCGGCGTTGTCCGGCACGTAAACCGGCGTAATGGACACGTTGGAGTCTTTGACCAGACCCGTCTGGGTGGTCAGCATGAAGGCCACACGCTGCGGGCCCGTCTCCAGCACGGTCGTGGCCAGGATGACATTGAGCTCATCGCCCTCCCTGTCGGGCGTATAGCCGGTATCCGAGGGCGGGGACTGCACGGCGGAATCACCGGTCTGTGCCGGAGGCGCTGTTGGCTGATGGCCCTCCGACGGCTCCCCCGGGGTGGGTGTCGCCGCAGCGATCGTCGAGACTGCCGTTGGCGCCGGGGCCTCGGTGACCGTGGGTGCGGGCTCCGAACCGCAGGCTGCTACCAGCGCCGCGAACAATCCGCCAACGAGCGCGGCTGCCAGGATCCTGAATGCTGTGTGTGGCAGTCGGTGCATCAGTAACCGTCCTCGTACACTCCGAAGGTAAAGGAGAAGAGGCCGAAGTCATCGGACATGGATGCGAGGCGCAGTACCTGTCCTCCCTCCCATGTGGGATGTTCGACGATCTTATACAGCTTGGGAACGGTAACCTGGAGATACGACACACCGTCATCGCCGATGATAATGTCGTCGCCCCGGTTTTCATCGGTCAGGTACTCCCCGTTGACGGTCACGCGAACCTGGTAGGGCTCGCCGGACTCGGAGGTAAGCACCGCGTTGACCGACCGGGCGGAATACTTGAGCTCCAGGTAGTGATCGAAGTGGGTCGGTTTGCTCCGCGTGTCGGGCGCTTTCCGGCCCTATAGCCCAGGGCCCGTTGAAGTAGATCAGGTTGCGTTCCGGGGAGTCGGGAGCAGTGAAGTCGGCCACGATGCTGGAGTGCTCCTCGGTGTCGGAGGAGGCTGCAGCCGCGTCGGTGTATTCCTCACCCTGACCGACTCCGCCTCGTCCCTGTGCCAGGGTGAAATTCCACCCGGCGAACAATTCGCGGGTCAGGTCGTTGCCCTCAGTTGTGAAGGTGGCGTCCCTGCCTTGGTCCTCAGGAAGCGGCATTTCCTGGGCTTCTGCCATGCCCGCTTCCTCCAGCAGCTTTCGGATCATATCCTCGGTTTCGCCGTACTTGCCTTCGCCGAAGTGCGTATAGCGGACTACGCCAGTCTGGTCGATGAGGTATTTGGCCGGCCAGTAGCGGTTGGAGTAGCTGCGCCACACGCTGAACTCGTTGTCCTGCACCACCGGCCATGCGACGCCTTCGTCCTTGGTGGCCTGCACGACGTTGTCGTAGATCTTTTCGAACTCGAACTCCGGCGTGTGCACGCCCACTATCACGAGGCCCTCGTCGGTGTAGCGGTCGTACCATTGCTGGAGGAAGGGCAGCGTACGGATGCAGTTGACGCAGGTGTAGGTCCAGAAGTCGATCAGTACGACGTTGCCCCTCAGGCTGTCCAAGCTGAGCGGTTCGGTGTTGATCCACTCCTGCGTCCCCATAAATTCGGGGGCACAGTCGCCGAGGCGGCCACCCCGAGAGCCCTCGCAGGGCGGGATGTCGGCCGCGGTAAGGCGCGGTTGGGCAGCCACCGTGGGAGCATCGGTCCCGGCGGCCGTCCCGGTTGCATCAGAGGCAGCCGATGGCGAAACCGCAGTGAACGTCGGCTCCGGCATTACGGTCAGCTCCGGTGCTGAGGTCGGGTCGGAGCCGCAAGCAATCAGAACGGCCAAGGCCACAGCGGCCACGATGAACGGGAGTCGAACCATCAGAAACCATCCTCATAGGTGCCGAATGTGAAGGAGAAAAGACCAAAGTCGTCGGACGTCGAGAACAATTGCAGGTACTGGTTCTCCTGCCAGCTGGGATGCTCCACCAGGAAGTAGGCCCTGGGGGAAGTTACCATCACGTAGCTTTCACCGTTTTCCCCTATCTGTACATCCTCGCCCTTGTTTTCCTCAGTCAGGAACTCGTTGTTTAACTTGACCACCACTTTGTAGGCTTCTCCCGATTCGGAGGTCAGCACCGCGTTCACGGAACGGGATGAGTAGGCCAGGAGGATAAAGTCATCTTCGGGGTTTTCTGTCTGCCTTGCGTGGCGAGCGCTCTCAGGGCCAATGGCCCAGGATCCCTGGAAATAGATGTGATCGACGACAACCTGGGTGGGAGTTTCGAATACGGCCACCTCACTGGTCTGGTCACCCCTCCTGTAGGAAACCTCTGCTGCTGTTGAGTAAGTCTCGACTTGCCCGATTCCGCCTCGCTGCTGGAGGGCGGTGAACCGCCATCCGGCAAAGAGTTCGGGTGTGCGCCGCAGGTTGGCCTCGGTCACGTAGGTGGAATCTATCCGCTGGTCTTCCGGTAGCGGCAGGGCCAGTGATTCTGTCTCGGCACCCACCTCCGCCAGCAGCTTTGCGTATCTCCTCCTCCGTCTCGGCGTATCTGCCTTCGCCGAAGTGCCGGTAGCGGATCACGCCTTCCTTGTCGATCAAGTATTTTGCCGGCCAGAACCGGTTGGAGTAGCTTTTCCAGACCACGAAATCGTTGTCCTGGACCACCGGCCAGACCACGCCCATGTCCTCGGTTGCCTCCACGACGTTGTCGAAGACCTTTTCAAACTCGAACTCAGGGGTGTGGACACCGATAATCACGAGTCCTTCGTCGGCGTAGCGCTCATCCCACGTCTTAAGGAAGGGAAGCGTCCGGATGCAGTTGATGCAGGAGTAGGTCCAGAAATCGATCAGGACCACCTTGCCCAGCAGGCTTTCCATGGCCAGTGGTCCGCCGTTGATCCACTCCTGGGTCCCGGCGAATTCAGGAGCACAGTCGCCAACTGCACCGCCCCGGGTGCCCTCGCACGGGTCCGCTGCCGCAACGGGCGTTTCGGTTGCCGGCGTCGCCACCGTGGCCTCGGGAGTCGGCGTGGCCTCGGTCGCGGCGGGTGCTTCCGTGGGCTCAGGCGTTTCGGCTGCAACGACAGTGGGCGGAGCGGCCGTAGGTTCCTCAGTCTGAGATGGTTCGCTGGTAGGTTCAGCGGTTGCGGTGGGCTCCGCCGTCGGTTCCGGAGCTGCCGGCTGCGTGGCGGCCAGGGTGTCCGTGGCGGCAGGCGGTGGCGCTGTTGTGGGGTTCTCGCTTCCGCATGCGGCAACGACCATCAGGGGCAATACCAGGACAGCGGCAAGGGTTGCGAATCTCCAGCCAGGGAATTGGATCTTGGGCAGCATTAACTCACGCGTTCCTTATTGCTGGGGGTAATACGCCTGGAGAGAAAGTGCGGATTCGTTGGGCGAACGGCACACGGGAGTCCAGGGGGGTATTACCCGCCGATGCTGCCCCCGCAGGCCTCAGCCAATGCTAACGCACGGCGCCCGGGATGGGGACGGAATCAAGCAGCCGGTCGATGACCTCGCGGGGCTGCATACGGCGCATTCGTGCGGCCGGGGAGAGGATTATCCGGTGCCCGATGACACCGAAGGCCAGCGACTGCACGTCGTCGGGAATGACGTAGTCGCGGTTCTGCACCAGGGCGTAGGCGCGGGCCATCCGGAACATGCCCAGCGATGCCCGGGGCGAGGCGCCGAGGGCCACATCTTCGTGGTTGCGAGTGGCCTCAGCCAGCCCCACGATGTACTCTCGCACTGTGCCGTCCACGTAGATATCCCGGGCCGCCGTTTGGAGCCGCACCACGTCCTCAGGCGTGGCCACGGACTGCAGGGCGTCGATGGGGTGGGACTGCTCCTGGCGCTCGATGATCGCCAGTTCCTCGGCAAAGTCTGGATATCCCAGGCTGATGCGGATCAGGAACCGGTCCAGTTGCGCCTCGGGCAGCGGGAACGTTCCCTCGTACTCGATGGGGTTCTGGGTTGCCAGCACGATGAACGGCGGCTCCAGGCGATGAGTGGCGCCGTCCACCGAAATCTGCAATTCTTCCATTGCCTCCAGCAGGGCCGACTGGGTCTTGGGGAGTGGCGCGATTGATCTCGTCGGCCAGCACCACCTGGGCCATCACCGGGCCGGGGCGGAACTCAAACTCCCTGTTGCTCTGGTTGTAGATGGAGACACCGGTGATGTCGCTGGGCAGCAGGTCGGGGGTGAACTGGATGCGTTTGAACTGGCAGCTCAGGGAGGCAGCCAGGCTCTTGGCCAGCATGGTCTTCCCCACACCGGGAACGTCCTCAACGAGGATGTGGCCCTGGGCGATGAGCGCCGCCAGGGTCTGCTCGATGACCGGAGTCTTCCCCACGATCACCCGAGATACGTTGTCCACGATCGCCCGCGCGGTGGCGGGGGCGGAATCTGTCTGCTGCACCGCAACCTCTTATTGCCTACGGATCAGGAAATTCCGTCATCGCCATGTCTGCGAGGCCGTTTGAGTGTATCATAACGGTCATTCGCTAAACTCCTCCATTTTATTGGAGAGAATCGAAAGGCTCTGGTCCAGCCGTGTTCAAGGTAAATAGACGTGCCCTGATCCTGCTGGCTCTCTTGGTGGTGCCACTCTTTTACGCCATCGGGACGGGGTTTGATTTCCTCTACACCCTCCTCTACGCCGTCCTGCTGTTTGCTGGTGGTGGGGGTGGTCTGGGCGCGCCTGAACCTCAGGGGACTGGAGGTGCGGGTCTCGCGCTCCGGCGACCGTGGTCAGGTCGGTGGCCACCTTGAGGGCCGCGTTACGGTGACCAACCACACCATGATTCCCAAATCGTGGCTGGAAGTCACGGAACTGGTCAACGATGTTCCCGAGCCAGGCGGGCGGGGTCTTTCGCTAGACCGGCGCCAGACACGGAGCTGGCGCATCGAGACCTTTCTTGCCCGTCGCGGACTTTTCGAGGGCGGGCATGTACGGGTGGTAACCCAGGACCCCTTTGGGTTGTTCCGGATAGGCAAGGATTTCTCCGACCCGCACACTTACATCGTCTATCCGGCCGTGGAGCCTCTGCCCAACCTCGATGCGCGATTTGCCGGGTTGCCCTCTGACAGCCGCCTGACCCGCTTCTACGATCAGGTTACGACTGACGTTGCCTCCCTGCGAGCATGGCGGCCCGGCGATGCCTACCGGCGCATCCACTGGCCCTATACCGCCCGGATGAACGCCCCGATGGTCAAGGAATTTGACGTCGGTCAGGCCGCTCAGTTCTGGATACTGCTGGACCTTGACCGTCCGTCCCACTTCTACAGTGAGAACTTTGATACGCCCGAAGATTACAGCAGGATTGTCGCCAACCCTGCTTGGCGATTCCGGGCGGACAACACCGAGGAACTGGCGGTGAGTCTGGCCGCTTCCCTTGCTCAGCGGCTCATGGACCTGTCATTGCCGGTGGGTATGGCCGTGAACGGCGAGAGAGGGCGCATGCTGCGGCCCGACAACGGTCCCGATCACCTGAGCCGCATGATGGAGACCCTGGCAGAGTCGAAGGCATCGGACGCGGCGCCGCTGTCGGAGTTCCTGCATTCCATGCGACCGCACCTGAATCACTTCCACTCGGTGACGGTGGTGACCGCCAACACGGATCCCATGTGGATGCCGGCCCTGCTCGATCTGAAGCGCGGCAGCGTCACCATTTCCATCGCCCTTGTGGACCCGTCGTCCTTTGGTGGCACGAGCACGATGAGGGAGGTGGTCGAGGCAGGGGCGGCAAACCTGGTGCCCGTGTACGGCGCACGCCGCTATGGCACCCTTGATGGAGCCCTGTCTCAGCCGCTGAACCGCGAGATCATCGATGCGCTGGACCCGGTCAACTCTGCCGAGATTGGCCTCGCCACCGTCCTGGAGGACGCTGGGGCCCAGGGGGCGGAAACATGATCGGCGGCCAAGCGGCACGACGCGCAGTCACTCTGAACTGGGACAGCGAGGATGTGACGGGGGCAGGACTGGCCATACTGAGGCGCTTTCGTCCGGACGACGGCTGGGTGGCGCTTATCCTGCTGGCTCTCAATCTCTGCGTCGTGGTCCTCTCCGTGGAGCAGGCCGACTGGGCCCCGACGCCCAGCCTTATCGGCATTTTGCTGCTGGGCATGCTCACGGCATTCGTGTTCTACCGAATCCCCGTATTCTGGTTTCAGGCCATGTTGCCCGGTCTTGTCCTGGGCGGCCTGACTGTTGTCTGGCAGCTTTCCGACTTCACCTTCGATGGCGAGCAGCTCGGCGGCGCCGGTGCGCTCTGGGACCGGTTGGCCCCTCTGGATGGAGGCGGCCAAGGAAAGTTCGATCAACATCGACAAGGTGCCCTTCGCCTTCGGCCTGGTGACCGCGGCCTGGCTAACCGGCTATGTCGGGGCGTGGGTGTTCCTCCGCCACCGCAATTTCTGGGGAGTCTTCGCTCTGAGTGGGCTGGGCCTGTTCTCCAATCTGACCTTTCTGCCGCCCAACACCAACTTTCATCTGGCCCTGTACCTCTTCACCGCGCTGTTGTTGGTGGCCAGGGTGCAGGCGGTACGCCGGCAGAGCCACTGGGACCGACAGGGAATCCGATACGACGATGGCCTGAAGGCTTTCAGCCTGTCCGATAGTTTTTTCCTCGCCGTTGCGGTCATTGTCGTCGCGCTTCTGCTTCCTGCCGGAGGACGGTGGTCCACCGCTACCGGCGCCTACGAGACGATACGACGGCCCTTCGTGAGCCTGGAGGACGACTTCAACCGCCTGTTCGCCGGCCTGCCCGCCCGGCGGGACATCGGCTTCCGGGTCTGGGACGACGTAATGGCTTTCCAGGGAACGATAAGCCCGGCCGCCACCCACACGCTGCTGGTCGACTCCCCGGTTCCCATGTACTGGAAGGCCCGCACCTACGACATGTACACCGGCAAGGGCTGGATCTCGCTGAATACGGAACTCCGGCCAATTGACTACACTCCTGATTTCATCAGGTCCGAGACGCTTCAAGACAGGGTGAACGTTACCTATGCGGTTACGCCCCTGTACTCCTCCGACTACTTGTTCGCTGGGCCGCAGGTAACCGCGGTGGACCGCGACGTGCAGATTGAAACACCGTCCGTCCCGCTGTACCGGGTCGACGTTTCACGGGAGAATCCGCTGCTCGGTCATCCTCCCGTGCTGGCCGAGGCGGGGCGCGCCCTGTCTGAGAAGGTGAGGCTGAACCCGGCGGTAAGCGAGGCCGAGCTCCAGGCCCTTCTTGCCCTCAATTTCCGCGTCGCCGGGATAGAGCGGCAGGAGGACCGTATTTCGGCAGTAACCATCGAAGAAGCCCTCCTGTCCCCTCCGGAAGCGCTCTCTGTTCGCAGCACAAAAGGCAGGTTCCCCACCCATGACCCCTACGTCGTGACATCCTCTCTGGCCATCGCGGATCCCGACCAGCTGCGTGCCGCTGGCGTTGATTATCCTGCCCACATCCTGCACCGGTATACGCAGCTGCCGCCCGATTTGCCCGGCCGTGTCGGGGGTCTGGCCCACGAAATCACTGTCGACGCCGAGACACCATTCGACAAGGCGGTGCTGATCGAGAAAAACCTGCAGCGGCTGGAATACAATCTCGAGATTGATCCCCCTCCCTTTGACGCAGACGGAGTGGACCATTTCCTCTTCAATCAGCGTCAGGGCTACAGCGAATACTTCGCTTCTGCCATGGCGGTGCTCCTGCGCACGGTGGGCGTTCCCGCCCGCGTGGCCGTTGGCTACACCACCGGAGAACCCACCGACGTGCCCAACATCTACGCTGTGGCAGACAACAACAGCCACGGTTGGGTGGAGGTCTACTTCCCCGGCTACTCGTGGATAGCCTTTGAGCCCACTCCAGGGGTATCGCTACCGGCCGCAATGGTTCCGGGAGAGGGCGGGAACATGGAATCTGCCGGCGGATTCTTCTCAGACTTTGATGTGGACTGCCTGGACGACTTTGTCGAAGACTGTCTCGACTATGCCGAGCCATTCGCGGATTTGGACGGAACTTCAGACGAGGCGGTGCAGGGTGGGGGCACTCCGGGCTGGGTCTGGGTGCTCGTGGTCCTTGGCGGCCTGGCAGTGGCGGGCTTTGCTGCCGTGTGGGGATTCCGCCGATATATGTTTGCCTCATACGACCCGGCGGGAGTGTACGGACGGATGCGTGCTCTCGCCTCCTTAGGCGGCCTGGCTGGCACGACACAGAGGACCCCTTACCAGTTTGGCCAGCGTCTTAGTAGACTGCTTCCCATGCACCAGGACAGAGTGGCAATCATTGTCGAAGCTTACGTGCAGTCCCGCTATGGAGCCCGAACACTGTCGGAGGAGAATCGGAGGCAGCTGGCGGACGCCTGGCTCAACCTGCGCTTCCCGTTGCTGATGACGGCGGTGGGCTACCGAATTTATCCAAGGATCGAATCGTGAGCGTTTACAAGTACCATATACAACAGTTGCCCGCCGGCTGGATCGGACTGGTATCCGGGGAAAAGGGACTCAGGCGCGCCACGCTCAAGCCGACGCCGCAGGAGGTCATGGAAGACCTTGGCAGCGACGTCGACAACGCTGAGCACGACGAAGAGTTCTTCAGCGATATTGTGTCCTGCCTCGAACGCTACAGCGAAGGGGACATGTCTGCCCTCGAAGACATTGAGCTTGATCTCGAGGGCACGCCGCCCTTCTTCCGCGCCGCCTGGGATGCCTGCCGAACGATTCCGCCCGGGGAGACGCGCAGCTACCGCTGGCTGGCGGCCGAGGCGGGCAGTCCGCAGGCCATGCGGGCCGCCGGTCAGGCCATGGCCCGCAATCGTTTCTCGCTGATAATTCCCTGCCACCGCGTCATTTCCAGCGACGGCGGTCTCGGCGGATACGGCGGTGGGGGACTGGGCGTGAAAGCCCGCCTGCTCCAGATGGAACTGGACCGGGCTACTTCAGAGGGAGTGCCCTGAGTTCAGCTTGACATCTATATGAGCATCAGTTGATTTCCTGAGGAGAAAAGAATTGGCAACTGACAACATTTCGCGCCCCGAGGAAAAGTGGGCTCAGGTCAACGGGCTGGATATGCGCTACCTGGACTGGGGCGGCGACGGAGAGCCGATGCTGGCCCTCCACGGGCTGGCGTCCTCGGCCCACTGGTACGACATCGTAGCGCGGCTGCTGCGGGACAGGTACCGTATCATCGCCCCGGACCAGCGGGGCCATGGCCAGACCACCCAGGCCCCTTCGGGCTACGACTGGCACACGCTGTCCGACGATCTGGCGGCGCTGCTGGACCATGTCAGCGCCGAAATCCCAGGTTTCTCGGCGCCCGTTGCGGCGCTGGGTCATTCCTGGGGCGGACACGTCGTCAGCAACTTTGCCTACCACCATCCAGACCGCGTGCGGCGAATCGCAATGATTGACGGCGGTTTCCTCGACGGCCGGCTGTTCCCTGAACCAACGTGGGAGGCGTCTCCGACCGTCTGCGCCCCCGCAACGTCACCGGGAACCGGGAGGAGTTCCTGAACCGGCTCCGCGAGCAGATGACCGGATTCTGGAACAGCGAGATCGAACGCATCGTCCAGACCATGGTCTATGAGGACGAGGATGGCAATATCCAGGACATTCTCCGTCCCGAGAACCAGGCCCAGGTAATCCGCGCCATGTGGGACGACCCCTGCTCCCACACCCTGGCACAGGTGCAGTGTCCGACCCTGATGATTGCTGCTGGCCCTCTGCCGGAGCGCGCCAACAGCGACTTCGCCCAGCTCCGCCGCCGGATGGTGGGGGCCGCCGAGTCCGCCCTGGCAAACGGCCGCGCCCACTGGATCCCCGAGACCGTCCACGACATCGGCTACCACAAGCCGGAAGAGCTGGCGCAGGTGATCCTCGAGTTCCTGGACGAGTAGCCTTTCATCATAGTATCAATAATGATATCGTATGAATGAATGCTCGCATTTCATATGACATTGAGGAGCTGCGCAGAAATCCCAAGGGAATTCGGTTCAGTGACTTGGCAGCTATATGCGATCGTCATTTTGGGAGACCAAGACAAAGAGGATCAAGCCATCAGGTCTATGCAGTCCCTTGGCCGGGTGATCCGCGAGTGAATATTCAAAACCACAGAGGTATGGCCAAATCATTTCAAGTTCGCCAAGTCATTCGGGCCCTCGAGAGACTGAAGGAGTTGGAATGAATCCCGACCACTATGCCTACCGCGTGATTTGGTCTGCGGAGGACGAGGAATTCGTGGGTCTTTGCGCCGAGTTCCCCTCCCTGAGTTGGCTCGAAGAGACCCCTGAGGAGGCATTCTCGGGCATTCGCAAGCTCGTTGCCGAGGCCTTGGACGACATGATCAGGACGGGCGAAACACTGCCCGAGCCCATAGCCGACCGCACCTACAGCGGCAATTTCATGGTCCGTGTAACGCCAGAAACACACCGCTCCCTCGTGCTGAAAGCAGCAGAGGAGGGAGTAAGCCTGAATCGCCTCGTTTCTGCTCGGCTGGCCGGACTTTAATTCACCTCCTCTCCTCACGTCACCGGCAGTGGCGGCTGCCAGAACTTGCTGGTGTCGTTGACCGTAATCTCGTCCACCCACTTGACCCAGTCGTAGCCGCGCTTGTGTGGCTCCACCATCCGCGCCGGGAAGCCATGGCCCGGCGACAGCGGCGCGCCGTCCACCCGGCTGGCTAGCAGGGCACGCCCGGCCTCCTCCATGGAGTAGCGGCGGAAGTACCCAGTCCGCGAGCGGACTGTGATACTGCCCGCACCGGGCCTGGGGCTGGCCTTGGCCAGCAGGTCTGGCACTGGGATCCCCTGCCACTCACGTGTCGTGTACCAGCCGCCTGTGCAGTCGAGCGTGGCAGTCAACTGGCTCTGCCAAGATTGTAGTTCCTCATAGTTCATTACGTATGGCCGCTCAACGTGACCGCTCACCCGCAGGCGCCACGCGGCCGGGTCGACGTGCTGGGTCCGGTCGTCCAGCCACATCGTCACGGGAAAGTCGGCACCGTCCTCGGGGTGCGATCCCGTGAGCGCCGGTCCGCCGCCGGAGCCCCCGTGAGCAGCAGCAGCCGCTCTGACGCCTGCCACGCTGCCAGTCCGACCACGGCCACGCCCGCGAATCGCAGGAAGTTGCGTCGCCCGGCCACGTATCGCGTTCGAAAGCTGATCTTGTGGCGCAGTGAGTGCCAGATCAGCAGAGGCAGCAGCAGCAGCGCCAGATTGAGGTGGATGGTGGTGCCGGAAAAGCCGAGGAAGCTGTAGGGCCCGATGTGGCTCCACGTAAGTCCCAGTCCCAGAACTGTCAGCAGCCCCAGCAGTAGAGCGGTCGAGGCTATCATGGCCTCCGGGGAGGCATTCCAGTTCTGCCGGGTACGGAATGAGCCAAGGATGGTTCGCGCTTTCCAGATGAACAGCACCAGGATGGCGAATCCCGTGATGCGGTGCAGGTGCATGGCCGCGATCCACTCCGGGTTGTTGTGGGTCAGGCCCAGGTACCCGGTTACCAGCTCGAATGTGAAAAGCGCTATGAGCGCGATGTTGGCCCAGGGAAATCGCAAGGCGTTAGCTCCCCACCCGGGTCTGGCTTACCGCTTGGGCAATTCTACCCGTCCATGCACGATACGCCTAAGCCAACGGTCGGGATTCATGTCAACAGCAAAAAAGCGGCGGGGCCGGATCATCCGGCCCCGCCGCTCGATAGTGAATGCCCTGATGGCTTAACGCAAGTCGACGACTGTGCCATCGGACTCAATGCGCATCCCAACGATGGGGCCTTCCCGTCTGCGGTTACCTTTTGGGTTTATGTTACTCCGCCCGGCGTGCGGTCATGCAACCCACATATACAGAGCAAGCTGGTGCGCAGACTAAAGGACCTCGTATGCCCATATCTGGTGGAAAACCTCGGGCTCGCCCTTGGGGAGCGGCTGGTATGGGTCGCTGACCTGCGCCAGCTTCCACTTTCCGTTCGCCTCCAGGCCGCTGAAGTAGTCCTGGTAGCCGTCATCCACCATGTCGGTGCGCAGGCTGAACACCACGTAGCCCCCGGGCTTGGTAACTCGCACCAGTTCGTCAAAGGAATGTATCGGCGCATGCCCCAGGGTGAAAACCCCCACGCTGATGACAGCGTCGAAAGCGGCGGTGTCGAATCCCAGGGTCTCACCTAGGGTCATCTGGTGGAAAGAGCTGTAGACGCCCTTCTTCCGCGCCTCCTCCAGCATGCCCTGCGACAGGTCCATGGCGGCGATTTTGTTGAACCCGGCGTCGGCCAGGCACTTGCCAACCAGGCCCGTTCCGGCGCCGGCATCCAGGATGGCAGCATCGGCCTGCATCAAGCTGGCCAGAACCCTGGCGCCATTCTGGGGGGCGTTCCACGCGAACACCTCATCAAGGTCCTTGTCGTATTCTGTCGCCCATTGGTCATAGCGCTCTTCCAGCTCCTGGTTGCTGGTGGAGCCATATACCCATTGGACACGCCGGTGACTCTCTTCCATTGTCATAGTCGCCTCCATTTCAAATTCCCTCTCCCGGGAAGGGGAGAGGGAATGGCCGGTGATTATTCGCGATGTGGTGTCGCCGGGGCTACTTGCGGCAGATGTACAGCCCCCAGCCCAGTTCGTCTTTCTCCACAGCCCGCGCCGTTTCCAGGTAGGCTGTGGTCAGCCACTCGTAGTGCTCCGCGTGCTCGCTCGTGTCGCCCTTGGGCGTTCGGTCGGCGAGACAAAGGTAGCTCTGGCGCAGGTGGCTGGAGATGTCCTGGGCCTCCAGGATCTCAAAGCCCTGGGCCTTCAGCGCATCCTGGTAGGACTCGAAGCTGAACTCCGTGTCGTAGAGGAGGCGTTCGTAGACGAACCGCTGCGCCTGCGGGCTGACCTGCTGCTTCGGCTTGACCAGATCGTCGAAGACGAATAACCCGCCTTTTTCAAGGACCCGGTAGACCTCCTTCAGCACCGCTCGCTTGTCCGGCACGTGATAGATCACGGCCTGGCTCCAGACGCGGGAAAACTGGCCGTCGGCGTAGGGAAGCTCGGTGGCCGATGCCTTCTCAAAGGCCAGCCTGTCGCGCAGCCCTGCCTCCTGCCGCTCGCGGGCGGACTTTGCGTTGTCTATGCGAACACCGCTCAGGTCGATTCCGGTAACGTGGCAACCGGTGCGCTCGGCCAGCCAGATGGCTGTGGTGCCGTTCCCGCAGCCCAGATCCAGTGCACGCGCGTCGGAACTGATCTGCCCCCTCTCGACCATGATGCGGTCGAGATTGGCGCATCCTTTCAGGAAGTCTGTGCCGGTCGTCTCGTCGAAGTAACCCCAGTGGACGCTGCCGTCCTCGTCCCATATGGTGCGGTAGATGGCATCTTCCGCATCGTAGTACGACTCGGTTTCTTGCTCAGTGAACCGGCTCGACATGTTTGATGCCCTCCAGGTATTCGACGAAATCGTTATTCTCGTCGACTAGGATCATCTTAGGGTCGATGGGAGTCTCGGTGACCTCGAACGACATGATGATCAGGCAGTTGCCCTCGGCGGTCAGGCGGGCAGCAGCGCCCTGCACCGCGATGTCGCCCCGGCCGCGCCCGCCAGGAAGGACGTAGGTCTCAAACCGGTTGCCATTGGTGACGTCGCAGACCAGGACCTTCTCAAATTCCCACAAGTCTGTCTTTTCCATCAGCGCCTCGTCGATAACGATGCTGCCGACGTAGTCCGGGTTGGCCTCGGTCACCCAGGCTCGGTGAATCTTGGATCGTAGTACTTCGCGCATGGTTCCTCCTTAGTTGTTCCTGAAAACCCTTGGCGGCCTACCTTTTTGCCGCCCGTTGTTTGAAAAAGTTTAAAATTGCTGAAAACTTGCTATGTGATTTATTGACAATTTCCTTTTATGGGGCCCCGGCTCCCAATTTGCGTCCTGTCAAGAGACAAAATTAGGCACAGACTTTCCCGCAGTAGGTGTTTGAGGGTTCTGCAAAGCTGCCGCGGGCGCAGTGATGTGCCTGGTATCGCGGCAATGGTTGGGGCGAGGCGGGACGGCCGGTAGGAGAGGCCCCTTTCGCTATCGATTGGGGAGGAGAGCTATGGCTCGCAGGGCAAAGTGTGTCGCTGACGGTTTCGAATTTGGCTCCGGTTCAGTTTCTTGGCCCTGACCGGAGGCCTTGTAGAGTGATAATACATCTTTAGTCCCAATGGGTATGGTATAGGGCCCGGCCCTTCTCTTTGCAGGGAACCCAAGGCTCGACCTGGAGACGCCGGACGATATGTGCTTGAGAATAGCTATCCAAGCTGTTCTGGGGCAGTCTAGCATCGGCTTGAAGGGTGGTCAAATCTTCCAGCACCTGTGTACGCCGAGTTTTAGCGCGGATACTTGGAGATAGCTATGATATTCGTAATAAATGTCCCTGATTGTTTCCAATAAACGCAAATATTGAAATTGATATGATCGGTTTACCATAACATGAGCGCATAATCGGGCCTGTCTGCCGTCCCGAAGGGGAGCCGAGAAGGCGCACTGCGGTACATCCCGCTGCATTCTGGCGCAGACCTCTCAAGACCGTCAGCGCCGAGGCATCAAACGCCCAGCGGCATCTCATGCGTAACGGCCACCGTATCGGGACCAAGCAGGTCCTCCAGCCGCTCCCGCAGCAGGTCGCAGTAGCCCGTGCTCACCACCGGCAGCTGCATCAGCACCCGTTTGCCCGCGGTCCTGATGTCCAGGTTGACCTTGTCGCGGCCCGGATATTCCAGGATCACGCCGATGACCTCCCGCAGGAGCATCGCGTCATGCTGCGGGTTGTCCGACTCGGTAACCGCCAGCTGAACCAACCGGTTGCTGGAGGCGAATGGCTCGCTGCCTGCAGGTTCGGCGGCGGGGCTGTGGCCGTTGCCGCTTGCTTGACCCGAGTGAGAGCCTGCGTTGCCATTTCCGTTTTTGTACTGGCCGTTCCCGTTCCCGTTTCCAGAGCCGTTCCGGTTTTGGCCGTTCCCGTTTCTGTACTGTCCGTTGCCGTTGGGTTTCGTCGTTCCGTTACCTCCGCTGCCATTGGTCGGCAGTGTCGACGGGCGGTCCTGTACGAACACCTCGGCCTCGTCACACGAGAGCTCCAACTGCTCGCCGCGCAGGCGCACCTTGCCCTGAACGCGGACAGTGCGCCCGGTCTGCCAGATCTCCTCGGTACGCTGCAGCGCCTCCGGCCAGACGGTCACCTCGACCACGCCGCCAAGCAGTTCCAGGCCGACGATGATGAAACGCTGCCCATCCCGGCGCGCTCGCTCGGTAACCGTGTTCACGATTCCGACAACGCTCTCCTGCTGTCCCTGCATCTCCTCGCTGAGCTGGTCCAGCGAGACGACCGAACCGCCGGTGTTGGCCGCCGTGAGCGCCATAAGGGGGTTGTGCGACAGGGCCACACCCAGCAGCTCCCGCTCCCAGGAGGCCTTTTCCTCTGGAGAAGCGTCGCTCGTGCCCAGGATGATCCCAGGTTCCTCCGGGACCGGTCCGCCCGTCCCCGCGCTTGTCCCACCCGGGCCCCCGCCGAACAGGCTGCTCTGTCCACTGCTGCGCATCTGCGCTTCACGCTGCGCCGTGGCCACGATGCGGTCCAGTGCTGACAAAACTGCGCCCCGCGGCGCGATGCTGTCGAACGCTCCGGCTTTGACCATGCTCTCCAGCGTGCGGCGGTTCAGGTTTGCCGCGCCAGCCCGGCGGCAGAAATCGTCGACCGAACGGTACGGTCCGTTTTCCTTCCTCTCCTCAACCACCGGCTTTACGGCGCCCTCGCCCACCGTCTTGACGGCGGCCAAGCCTATGCGCAGCCCCGGCTTGCCCTCCTCGTCGTGGTCGATGGTGAAGAACTCGCCCGACCGGTTGACGTCCGGCAGCCATACCTGGATGCCCAGCCGGAAGCACTCGTTGATCGAGCTGATGGTCTTGTCGGTGTTGTCCAACCGGGCGTTCAGCACCGCTGCCATGTACTCCACCGGGTAGTGGGCCTTGAAGTAGCCCGTCCAGTAGGAGATCAGGGCGTAGCTGACGCTGTGCGCCTTGTTGAAGGCGTAACCGGCGAAGGGCTCGATCAGGTCGAAGATCTCCACCGCCAGCCCCTCGTCGAATCCCTTGCCCGTAGCTCCGGCCACGAAGTTGTCCCGTTCCTGGGCCATCAGCGCCGCGATTTTCTTGCCCATCGCTTTCCGCACGATGTCGGCGCCGCCCAGCGTATAGCCGGCGAACTGCTGCAGTATCAGCAGCACCTGGTCCTGGTAGACGATGATCCCGTAGGTCTCGTCCAGCAGGTCCTTTAGGCTGGGGTGTGGGTACGTCACCGCTGCCCGGCCATATTTGGCATCTATGAACCGGTCGATGTTCTCCATCGGCCCCGGCCGGTACAACGCAATCATCGCGGCGATGTCCATGAGATTGGACGGCTTCAGCTTCTCGATGTAGCGCTGCATTCCGGCGCTTTCCAGCTGGAACACGTCGGTCGTGTTCCCCGAAGACAGCAACTCGTAGGTCTTAGCGTCGTCCAGCGGCAGGGCTTGCAGGTCGATCTCGACGTTCCGGCTCTCCCGCACCAGCTTTACCGCCTGGTCCAGGATCGTGAGGCTGGTCAGGCCCAGGAAGTCCATCTTCAGCAGGCCCAGGTGCGCTACCGGGTCCATGCTGAACTGGGTCATCAGCACCGGGCTGGACTCGTCCCCCCTCGACGGGCGCTGCAGCGGCACCGTCTCGGTCAGCGGCTCGTCGGCAATCAGCACGCCGGCGGCGTGGGTACTGACGTGGTGGACGATGCCCTCCAGTCCCTGCGCCTGGTCCACCAGGTTCTTGACCGCCTCGTTGGTGTCGTACGAGCTCTGCAACTCCGGGCTGACGCGCATGGCGTCCTCCAGGTTGCGGGCCTTGAAAGGCACCATGCGGGCGATGCGGTCCACGTCGCCGTAGCTCATTCCCAGTGCCCGCCCCACGTCCCGCAGGGCAGCCTTCGCGCCCAGCGTTCCGAAGGTGATGATCTGCGCCACCCGGTCATTTCCGTACTTGTTGATGACGTAGTGCAGCACCTCGTCGCGCCGGTCGTCCTGGAAGTCCATGTCGATGTCCGGCATTTCCTTGCGTTCCATGTTCAGGAAGCGCTCGAAGACGAGCCGGTACTCCAGCGGGTCGACGTCCGTGATGCCAAGGCAGTAGAGCACGACGCTGGCTGCCGCGCTGCCCCGCACGCCGAAGAGAATCTCCCGCTGCCGCACGAACCTGATGATGTCCCAGACAACAAGGAAGTAGTTGGCGAACTGGGTGTAGCGAATGACCTCCAGCTCGTACTTCAGCCGCTCCACGGCCTCCGGAGAGGCGTTGGGATAGCGGCGACGGAAGCCCTCCTCGCACACCTGCGCCAAGTACTCGTCGGCGTCCATGCCGCCCGGCGTCTCGTAGCGCGGCAGATGCGTCTGCCCGAACTCCAGCGATACGTCGCACATATCGGCGATCACGCCGGTGTTGGCCATCGCCTCGCTGGTTACGTTCGCAGGCAGGCCAGCAAAAAGTGACTCCATCTCCTGCGGACTCTTGATGTAATAGGAGTCGTCCTCCATCCGCAGACGTTTTTCGTCGTGAACATTGGTGTTCGTCTGGATGCAGATGTAGACGTCCTGCAGGTTTGACTGGCGCTGGTGAACGTAGTGGGCGTCGTTGGTTGCCACCAGCGGCAGCTTGGTGTCCTGCGCCAGCCGCAACAGTCCCTCATTGATCCGGTCCAGGTTATCGACTTTCTCGTGCTGCTGTATTTCAAGGAAGTACCCGTCGCCAAAAAGCTCCCGGTACCATCCCGCTGCCTTGACCGCCCCGTCGTAGTTGCCGTCCGCCAGCAACCGCGGCACCTCGGCCGAAGGACAGCCCGACAGGCAGACTAGTCCGGATCCGAACTCCTCCAGCAGCCCCTTGTCTATGCGGGGTCGGTTGTAGAACCCCTCGACGTGAGCCTTGGTCACTAGCTGCATCAGGTTGCGGTAGCCGGTGTTGTCCCTAGCCAGCAGCACCAAGTGCGCCGGGCTGCGCTCAGACGGGTTCTTTTCGTGCCTGCTGTTGTGCGCGACATAGACCTCGCAGCCTATGATTGGCTTGATTCCCGCGTCGAGGCAGGCGGAGTAGAAGTCGACGACTCCGTAGAATGTCCCGTGGTCCGTTATGGCCAGGGAGTCCATTCCCAGTTCGCCGGTTCGTTCGACCAGCTCGGGAATGCGGCTGATGCCGTCGAGCATGCTGTATTCGGTGTGGACGTGGAGATGGGTGAATGCCAAGGGAAAGAGTCCTCCAGAAAATGCAGGCTCGCCGTTCAAGGCGAGTCCGGGATTCTGTCCCTGAAGCCCATGCCGCAGAGTCGCTGTATCCAGATGGACCAAGAGACTACATAAGTCAGCCCCAAAGGGCAATCGCAGCGGGAATCGTCGAGCGGGGTGAGGAAAGAGGCTCTGCTTTTCGCCCCGCCCCCCTTACCACCACATATAGGGCAGAGTCCCTTTACGGTCTCCAATATGACACAATATCAAGTGCCATGACAAGGGGGGAAAGTCCCAGAATTCTACATAAAAAAGCCGGGGTTCAGCCCCTGTATTCTCTGGGGCTATGAACCCCGGCACATTGCCGGTAACGCTGTCAGATGTCTATCGGGGTGGCGGTCCCCGAAAACCGAAGAGTGTCGGCTACTCTTCCTCCCAGGTGTCCATCTTGGCCGAGATTATGGTGCTCGCGGGAACCGGGTCCTGCCGGTTGATCAGCCGCGTGTCTCCCCAGGTCGCCGTTTCCACGTAGTTCTTGAAATCCTTGGTCTCGCCGCAGACTTGGCACACTCCGGGGCTGGTGGGGCCGTCTGCAGCTTTGATCACCCAGTGGTGCTGGCAGACCTCGACCACCTCGGGGACTTCTTGAACGGCTACGTTCTCCGCTTGCTGTACCATCTCGCTCACCCTCACGTCGAATCATTTCTCTCGTTTACGAAATTATACCATCTCATGTCTGTATTCATCAATAGTTTTCCGACACTAGGTGCTAAAAAGACGCTGCTTTGACCGGTATCCGACCAATATTCCCTCTGTTCCTTCGAATTCTTTCTCTCTTCCCATTGCTGATGTTCTGTTCCTGATTCGCGTTGACTTTTGGCTCCCTGAACTGATTAAATCGGTTGTTAATATCTAGTTCACTCTTAGATTCCCTGACGAATCTGAATTGAAGGGGGCCAGCGATGGGCAGGAGGCTTTTCAAGGAACTGGAGCGCTCGTACGGTTTCGACGAGGTGGCCATCGTCCCCGGCCAGGTGACCATTAACCCTGAGCTCACCTCCACCAAGATGACCATTGGCGACCTGGAGTTCGAGATCCCCATCATGGCCTCCGCTATGGATGGGGCCGTTTCTCCCCGGTTCGCTGCCCGCATGCACGAGCTGGGCGGGCTCGCCGTCCTCAACGGCGAAGGCCTCTATTCCCGCTACGACGACCCCTATTCCGTCCTCGAAGACATCATCGCCACTCCCCAGGCCGAGGTGACCGAGTTCCTGCAGCAGGTCTACTCCGAACCGGTCAAGGACCACCTGATGGCCGCGCAGGTCCAGGAGATCAAGAATTCCGGCGCGACCTGTGCTATATCCTTTACGCCCCAGAGCACCAAGCGGATGTCCCCCATCGCTGTGGAGGCCGGTGCCGACATGATCGTAGTCCAGTCCACGGTCACCACGGCCCGCCACATGTCCAACAGCTACCGGGGGCTGATCTTCTCCGAGCTGATCGAGTCCATCAAGGTGCCGGTTATGGTCGGCAACTGCGTAACCTACGACGTGGCCCTGGAGCTGATGGAGACGGGCATCGACGGCGTGCTGGTGGGAGTGGGCCCCGGCGCGGCCTGCACGACCCGCGAGGTGGTCGGTGTCGGAGTGCCCCAGGTCACAGCTACCCTGGAGTGCGCCGCCGCCCGCGAGGACTACTACAAGAGCACCGGCCGGTACGTGGCGGTAATCACCGACGGCGGCATCCGCACCGGTGGTGACATCTGCAAGTCCATCGTCAGCGGAGCCGACGGCGTGATGCTGGGCACCCCCTTCGCCCAGGCCGAGGAGGCTCCCGGGCGCGGCTACAACTGGGGAATGGCCAACCCCCACCCCGAGCTGCCCCGCGGCACCCGGGTCAAGGTTGGCACCAAGGGATCTCTCGGCCAGATCCTATACGGTCCCACGTCGGTAACCGACGGCACCCAGAACTTCGTCGCCGCCCTGAAGGTGGGCATGGGAATGTGTGGCGCCTACTCAATCCGCGACCTGCACCAGGCCGAAATGATCATCGCCCCGGCCATGAAGACGGAAGGCAAGTTCCTCCAGCTCGGCGGGTAGATTCGGCCGGCGACTCCGATTCAAGCGGCACTCGGACCCAGGAGGAACGCATCATGACCACATCAGAGCGAACGCTGGAAATTCTGGTCCCCGTCGCCGAGGACGTTCCCGAGGAGGTTGGCCTCAGCGCCTCCCTCTCCGGCCTTGAGGGCAAGTCGTCGGCCTGCTGGAGAACCGCAAGTACCACGCCGACACCTTTATGCAGGAGCTCGAACAGACCCTGCTCAACGACTACGGTGTGAAGAAGGTCGTCTACAACCGCAAGGCCACCTACAGCGCCGCTCACCCCGACGAGAAGCTGGAGGCGCTCCTCCGGGAGTGCGACGCCATAATCCACGCCATAGCCGATTGAGGAAGCTGCACGGCGTGGGGTCTCCACGACACAGTCCTCACCGAATCCAAGGGAGTTCCGTCCGTCAGCGTCATCACCAGCAGCTTCACCCGCGCGGCCAACCTCCGCGCCGCCTCCCTAGGCATGCCCGGCGTCCGCATGGTAGTCCTCCCCAGCCCCCTCGCCAGCCGCCCCCCCGATGACGTAAAGCAAATGGCCCACGACTACGCCTCCGAAATAGTCGGCCTCCTGACGGAGGGCTAGGCGCGGCGCTGGTTCCCCAAGGCGAATGGAGCGCGTTGACTGGCTGCGGGCCGGGAATGCATAGACTCACTTTTTGAGATAAATCGCTAGAGGAGATCCGCATGTTAAGGGGATTTCGACAAAAACTGCAGGATCGGGGCGAACGCAAAGAGCAGGAGCGGCAAGAGGCTGCGGAACAAGCCCGGCTGGCTTGGCAGACAGAGCAAGAAGAACGCCGGAGGCAGCAGGAAATCCGGGACAGAGTGCTCGCCATCATTCAGGAAGGTAAAGTCCCTGAAATGGACATTCAAAGCGACTCCGTTCCTTTCAAGCTCCAACGCACGGAGAAAATGCTCCTTGCAGTCGAAAATATCCCTTACTCGGAAATGCGCGTTAAGAGAGAGATTCACGGCCGGTCCGCTGGGGCTAGCGTTAGGGTCGCCAGGGGGATGTCAGTTCGCGTAGGTGGCTCCCGCGGCACTCCGGTGGAAACAGACGTGCTTACGCCGCGCGGGGTCGGGCTGTTCGGCCTTTCCACGAAGCATGTCTTTTTCAATGGCGAGCGCACATTTCGCATTCCAATAGCGAAAATTGTTTCTGCCCAAGTGGTGAATGTCGGCTTGGAAATTGTTCGTGATCGGGCTAGCGCGCAGCCGGAATTCTTTGGGCTTTCCGAGGACGGAGCGGAGTTTGTGGTAGACCTGATTCATGCCTTGGAATATGTGGACTTTGGGCGAGGCGAGCCGGAAATGCAGGATGTCACTAACTATGTCCTTATGGGTGATGGTGGTGATGACATGTTGCTGGACGAATAGATGGCCCGCGGTTACATCCGAAAACGCTGTGAGCGCAGCTGGCAGTTGGTTTACGATGCCCCTCGCGGCTTTGACGAAAGGTTCTCAAGGGTTTTGAAATTCCCCCCCAAATGGCACTGGACGACGGCAGCAGGCTCCACCAGCGTGGCTCCGGGCCCCGTCTGGAAGAAGCCAAGAACCTTTCGGGACGGCGCCGTTCTGGCCAGCGACCCGATCTCCTCGTATGGCTAGGCCCGTGGAACCAAACCGCGGAGGCAAACGATGCAAAGAAGCGCTGACAGGATCCTCACTACCCATTGCGGCAGCTTGCCCCGGCCTCATGACCTGCTGGACATGATGAAAGCCAAGTTGAGTGGAGACTCTTACGAAGAAGAGGCCTACGCCGGGAGCGTCAGAACCGCAGTGTCCGACATCGTACAGCAACAAGTCGATTGTGGTGTCGACATTCCCTGCGACGGTGAGCAAGGGAAGCCCGGGTTCTTCACCTACGTGGGGGAGCGCCTGAATGGGTTTGATCCAGACCCTGCCGGCAACTTTGATCTCTTTGCTGCCGAGGTGGCCGCCTTCCCCGAATACTACGAACGGTATTTCGCCCAGGCCATGCTGGGCGGTACCGTGGCGCCGATGACACCCTTGGCCTGCACCGGCCCGGTCGCCTATCGCGGAGATGATGCGGTCCACAGAGACATAGCCAACTTGCGAGTCGCCTTGGAGGGGCAGCCGGCCCAGGAAGCCTTTATGCCCTCGGTCTCCCCCACCGGCGTCGGAGTCAACAAATACTACTCCACCGACGAGGAGTACTTGTTCGCCGTGGCCGACGCAATGCGCTCTGAATACCAGGCCATTGTGGATGCGGGTTTTGTCCTGCAGATTGACGACCCCTTCCTGACCGACGTCTTTAGCGACCCCACCTTGAGTGAGGCCGAAAAACGTACCAAGGCCGAGATCATGGTGGCCGCCGTCAACCACGGAATTCGCGGTATCCCCGAGGAAAAGATTCGCTTTCACACCTGTTACGGCATTAATCACGGGCCCCGGGTCCACGACGCGGAATTGAAGGATGTTGTGGAGTTTATCCTGAAGGTTAATGCCGGTGCCTACTCCTTTGAAAACGGAAATGCCCGGCACGAGCACGAATACCATCTCTGGGAAGACGTTAAGTTGGCTGATGGCAAGGTGCTGATCCCCGGTATCATCACCCACTCCAGCAACATCGTGGAGCATCCTGAACTCATAGCCGAGCGAATCATCCGCTTTGCCAGGCTGGTGGGCCGCGAGAACGTGTTGGCGGGCAACGACTGCGGGTTCAGCTCGCAGGCAACTTACAACACCGAAGTGCATCCAACGGTGGTCTGGGCCAAATTCCGCGCTTTGGCAGAGGGAGCAGCTTTGGCCAGCCGGCGCCTCTGGTAGGCACAATTCCGAGGTAAAGAGCCAAGGCAGTCCAATCGGAGTAAATAGCTCCGACACAGTGCTTGACCGTGGCGGCGGAATGATGGCGATGGAGTCGGCTACCTCTTAAAATGAAGTCATCAAGGCCCGCCTGGTTAACCTGCTCCGTCCTGCCGCCTACTCCAGGAGTGAGGGCGGGGTGCCTAACGGTTGGACCATTGACGGCAACTCCGTCATCGTCTGGGAGCCCCGCGACGCCTTCGGTAGGAGCGGCTTCAGTTGGGAAGACGTTCCATCTACCTTAATAGATCAAGACGCCAGCGGCCCCGGACGGACCGTGCTGAACCGGACGAAGCTCGAGGAGTTCACTGGGACGCCCCTGCGAACTTCGACCTCCCGTTGGAAACTCCCCTTTGGGCTATAAGGACCAACCATGACCACCACCCAACATCTCGCCTCCCGCCGCGCCCGCGTACCCGCCGACTTCCCCGCCATGCAGGACTACTTCTGGGAGCAGGGCTGGACCGACGGCCTCCCCGTCGTCCCGCCCACCGAGGACGCCGTCCGCGAGATGCTCGCCTCCATCGACGCCGATGCGCAGCACTCGCTGGGAGTGATGCAGCCCAGCAACTCCCGCGCCACCCTTGAGAAGCTGGCCATCAACGCCGTAATGGCCGGCTGCAAGCCCGAGCACTTCCCCGTCGTGGTGGCAGCCGTCCGCGCCGCCCTGATGGAAGGCTTCAACCTCGCCGGCACTGCCGCCACCACCGGCGGAGCCAACCAGGTCATGATCGTCAACGGCCCCGTCGCTCCCCAGCTCGGCATCCAGGCCGACGCCGGCTGCTTCGGCCCCGGCTTCCGCGCCAACGCCGCCATCGGCCGCGCCCTCGGCTCATCGTCCGCAACGTGGCCGGCTTGGCCCCCGGCGAGATGGACAAGGCCACCCTCAGTTCCCCGGGACGCTACAGCTTCTGCTTCGCCGAGAACGAGGCCCGCAGCCCCTGGGAGCCGCTCCACGTCGAGCGGGGCTTCGCGTCAGCGGACAGCACGGTAACCCTCGCCGGCATCCTCGGCGTCTACCGCATCATGGAGAGCACCTCCGGCACCGGTTCGGCGTCCTAGGCACCATCGTCGGCAACATGACAACTGTCGGCATCGCCAACTACTACCAGCAGGCCACCGGCGGACAGGTCATCCTCATCCTCTGCCCCGAGCACGCCGCCGAGGTCGCCGCCTCCGGCCTGTCCAAGGCCGACGTCAAGGACTACGTATTCCACAACGCCCGCATGCCCGTCGGTCAGCTCAAGGGCATCGCCCACTACGGCAACCGCACCTGGCCAAACTGGATCGACGAATCTCGCGACGACGTGATGGTCCCCATCGTCCGCTCCGCCAGCGACGTCGTGGTGCTGGTGGCCGGCGGCGACGGACGACACTCCTGCTGGATGGCCGGCTGGGGCGTAACCCTCGTCTCCACCGAGCAGGTCCAGTACTCCCTTCCTTAAATAAACGGCCGAGCCATTCTCCCAACCCCCTGATCCGAGTCCTGCTCCATCACTGATCGCTGACAGCAAGCCCTTGCCAAACCCCGTGTCTCGCAGGGCAATCGCGTCTTAATCGCCGGAGGCCCTATAAGTCGTCATTCTCGCGGAAGCGGGAATCCAAACCCCCGTCTACCCTCGCACCCGGAACCGAGGGAGGCACTGCCACTCCCATATCCACCGACATTAGACCAATTTTGTGTGCTGACAAATAAGACGCGATTGCCCTGCCGTGGTTCGCCCTTAATATGAATCTAAAGAACATTTATGCGAATTACGTCCTTTCGTTAATCTTCCCAGGACTTGCGGAAACTCCCTCCGCCTCACGATGAGGGCCAGAGCCTGCCCCGAACTGACCGGCGGCGGGAGGTGATACCTCTCTCCCGGAAATGAGACAAAAAGAGACACTTTAAAAAGAATCCGTGGGTGGGCTTTGCACAATAAATCGGGCACCAACCCCCGGGGAGCAGGGATGGTCCGGAGCTATGTTTGGCCTAGAACAAACCCTGGTTCCACCCCAGAGACCGGGGATGACACGGTCAATCCCCCAAGACACCCAGAAAAGACGGGGAGAAAACAGCCAGAGGCAGGAGCGAAAAAATCGAGCAGATCCAGATTGCCATGGCCTCCAACCCCGGCGACGTCGCCCCGGGCGGCATCTTCAGGAAAAACGGGCGTCATCCCAAGACGAGCGGAGCTTACTCAACTCAAGACAGCGAAAAACAGCCAACAGTAACCAGGATTCAACCAGGAGTCCAAAATGTACCAACACCGTTGGCGAACCGCCCTCATAATCACCCTGTCGCTGACCGCAGCAGGTGTCTGGGCCAACTACCAGGGGCACTACAGCCAGCTGTCTGCGGCGCAATGATCTGGCTGGGCATAATATCACTGCCCGACGCCCTCACCGCACTCCGGAACGGACAGCCAGCCAGGATCACAAAGAGTGCGTACATGCCGCTCGTCGCAGCGTGCGGAGCGGCGGCACTCGTCATAGTTGGAAGGAAAGGTAATCCCCAATGCGGAAAATGTTCGTCACCTCAACCATCACTCTCCTGGTAGTCCTATCGACACTCACAGCCTGCTCCGACCCAACACCGGCCCCGGAGACCCAGGCCCCGACCTCCACGCCAGCACCGACGCCGACGGAGTACCCGGTACCCACGGAGTCGCAGATCGAGAGACCCACGGCAACGGCCGCGCCTACCGCGACGCCGGCCAGTACTCCGACTCCCGAACCAACAGCAACTCCGGCGCCCCCAGGGGCACTCGCTCCTCTGCAGTTGCAGGACTCCGGAGCAATGCTCTCCGAGCTGTCTGACACCGAACTGGCCTGTATCGGGGCGACACCGAGAAACTGGCCCAGGCTCTGACCGGGCCCGGCTCGGCATCCCGGGAGGAACAAACTGAGTTCATCGGATGCCTCGAAGACGAGACCCTGGCAAGAATCTTTCTCGCCGGGTTCGTACCTGGTCCAGAACCGCTCAGCCTGGAATCCTCCGACTGCGTCCGGACAGCGTTCGCAGTCATCGACCCAAAGGCGGTCATGACCGCAGGTATAGAGGGCGATCCAGCAATTGCCATGGCCGGCGGCATGACCGGACTTTTTGTAACGATGGCATGCCTGAACGATGAGGAGTGGGAGGCAACTGGCCCACAGGTGGGGATGGGACCGGAGGAACGGGAGGGGATGCAGTGCCTCCTGGCCGAACTGGGCGGACCGGGACAGATGGCAGGGGCGATGATCGCGGCCCAGGAGGGAGACATCACTGGCCTGTCCCAAGCAGGGGCGGAGTGCGGGCTGGATATGGGACCCCCGCCCAGCCAGGCGCCGTAACCTCTCCGACGACGCCCACGGCGACCATGGAAGTGCCCACACCGGTCTCCACGCCCGTGACAACCGGGGCAACACCGGCCGGGACGCCCGTGCCGGCCACCTAGTCGACGGTCGCACCTCCGGCCCTGCCGAACTCACTCGCCAGGACCTGCGGAAACTCCCTCCGCCTCATGATGTGGGCCGGAGCCTGCCCTGCCCTGACCGGGGGCGGGAGGTGATACCTTTCTCCCGGAAATGAGACAGATGAGACAGAAAGAGACAATTTAAAAAGAATCTGTGGGTGATGTGAGATACTCGAAAAGATCTCCAGGCACCCCGCGTTCACCCCAACCCTGGGAACAGGAATGCCGGAAACTACCTGAATTTACCGGAAATTTTGATTTTCCCTGATAGTCCCGTGGTACGCTGTCGCTGGTGCACTGGGTTATCCGTGTTCTTGGCTGCACCGGATCTTCGTGATGGTCCGAAGTGGCCTGAAGTGTCCGGAAAACTGGAAAATCCCCCGGTTCAGGGTTCATGCTGCCTGTAGCGCGCCTCCGTTCGGATTTCCCGCGCTGTCGGCAAGGCCAGCCGACCGCTCTCCCAGCCGCAAAATCCCTGCCTCAACCCCTTGCGCGATTGTGAAAAATGGTGCATACTTCGGATCTGAATGCTTCCTGGTGGTTCTAGCGAGGCGGCCCCACCCGTTCCCATCCCGAACACGGTAGTGAAACGCCTCAGCGCCGACGATACTGCTTGGGTGACTGGGTGGGAAAATAGGTCACCGCCGGGAGGCTATTCTTCAGTCATCCCTTCCATGAGGACCCCGACACCGGTGAGCTTGGCGCGGGGCACCCCGCGGCCCGGATGGACCGGACTGTTTCCCCGCCTCTTCCACCACAGTCAAGGACTGGCAAGTTCCTGCCCCTTACGCGCCTTTACACCCCGGGGTACGCCTAATAAAATGGACGTTTTACCGGAGGATGTTCTGCGCGGGCAGTCTATGAGCCACCCGATATAGGAAAGCCACCTTACGCCACCCAAAGGCCAGGAGCGGTATTATGGGCAGCAGATTCGAGAAGTTTTCGGAGCGGGCGCGACGCGTCCTATCTCTGGCCCAGGAAGAAGCCCAGCGCTTCAACCACAACTATATCGGGACTGAGCACATACTCCTCGGCCTTGTCCGCGAGACGGAAGGCGTGGCGGCCCGGGTGCTGTCCAGTCTCTCCGTCGACCTCTCGAAGGTGCGCTCAGCCGTCGAGTTCATCATCGGGCGTGGCGAGAAGCCGGCCCAGGGCGAAATCGGCCTGACTCCCCGCGCAAAGAAGGTGGTGGAGTTGGCGGTCGATGAAGCCCGCCGCATGAACCACACCTACATCGGCACTGAGCATCTGCTCATCGGCCTCCTACGCGAGGGCGAGGGCGTTGCCGCCGGTGTGCTGGAAAGCCTCGGCGTGACCCTCGACAAGGTCCGCACCGAGACTCACCGCATCCTCAGCCACACCTCCGGCCAGGGCCAGCAGTCCGGCCGCACCACCACCAAGACCCCGACGCTGGACAACTTGGGGATTGACCTGACCAACGCCGCCCGGTCCGACAAACTCGACCCGGTGGTTGGCCGCGATCAGGAACTCCAGCGGGTGATCCAGATCCTCAGCCGCCGCACCAAGAACAATCCGGTGCTGGTCGGCGAGCCCGGAGTCGGCAAGACCGCAATTGTTGAGGCCATGGCCCAGCGCATTGCCAGTGGCGACGTTCCGGACACGCTGCAGAACAAGCGCTTGGTGACCTTGGACATGGGCTCCCTCGTCGCCGGTACCAAGTACCGCGGCGAGTTCGAGGAGCGCCTCAAGAAGGTCATTGAAGAAATCAAGAGCTCCGGCAACTGCGTCCTGTTTATCGACGAGATTCATACCCTCGTCGGGGCAGGTGCCGCCGAAGGCGCGGTGGATGCCTCCAACATCCTGAAGCCGTCCTTGGCTCGCGGCGAGCTGCAATGCATCGGCGCTACTACCTTGGACGATTACCGCAAGTACGTGGAACGAGACCCGGCCCTTGAGCGGCGCCTCCAACCGGTGCGCGTGGAAGAACCCTCCAGCGAAGAGACCATCGATATCCTGATGGGTGTCAAGGACCGCTACGAGGATCATCACAACGTAACTTACACGGACGACGCCATAAAGAGCGCCTCCAACTTGGCCGCCCGCTTCATCGCCGACCGCTTCCTCCCCGACAAGGCCATCGACCTGATAGACGAAGCCGGTTCGCGGGTTCGCCTGCGCGGCAGCGTCACCCCCACCTCTGTTACCGACGCGATGCAGGTGCTGGAGTCCGTCAGCCGCGAGAAAGACGAAGCCATCGCCGACCAGCGCTATGAGGCGGCTGCCGAACTGCGCGACCGGGAACTGCAACAGCGCCAGGACCTCGACGAACTACGCTCCGAGTGGCAGGAAGGCCGCGGCAAGGAGCGCACCATGGTAACCGAGGACGACATCGCTGAAGTCGTCAGCATGTGGACCGGTGTGCCGGTCGCCCGGTTGGCCAAGGAAGAAACCGAGCGGCTGCTCCAGATGGAGAACGACCTCCACAAGCGGATCATCGGCCAGGACGAGGCCATCGTTAACATCTCCAAGTCAGTGCGCCGTGCCCGTGCCGGACTCAAGGACCCACGGCGGCCCATCGGCGTGTTCATGTTCCTCGGCCCCACCGGTGTCGGCAAGACCGAGCTCGTCCGCGCTTTGGCCGAGTTCATGTTCGGCGACGAAGACAACATGATCCGGCTGGATATGTCTGAGTTCCAGGAGCGGCATACTGTCGCTCGACTCATTGGTGCCCCTCCCGGATACGTGGGCTACGACGAGGGAGGCCAGCTGACCGAGGGCGTGCGCCGCAAGAACTACTGCGCCGTGCTGCTGGACGAGATCGAGAAGGCACACCCCGAGGTCTTCAACATCCTGCTCCAGATCTTCGACGCGGGAACACTGACGGACGCGCGGGGCCGCAAGGTCGACTTCCGTAACTCCATCTTGGTTATGACCAGCAACCTCGGCTCTGACCTGATCAAACGTGAAACCTCCATGGGCTTTGCGGTGAAATCCGACAGCGCCCGCACCGACCAGAGCGCCTACCAGCGCATGAAGGACAAGGTGATGGAAGAGGTCCGCCGGTTCTTTAAGCCGGAGTTCCTCAACCGCATCGACTCCACCGTCGTGTTCCACCAGCTCGACCGGACCGAAATCCTGTCCATTGTCGACCTGATGATGAATCAGGTTCGGCATGAGTTGGACGACAAGCAGGTCGGCTTGGATCTCAGCCAGGCAGCAAAGGAATACTTGGGTGAGAAGGGCTTCGACCCCGTGTTGGGTGCCCGTCCCCTGCGCCGCCTGATCCAGAATGAGGTGGAAGACCAGCTCTCCGAGGAGCTTCTCGCCGGACGCTTGGGTCCTGGAGACGTCGCCTATGTCGATATCGAGGAAGGCGTAGTCAAGATCACGGCTTTGGCGCCCGCCGACCAGGTACTGGAAGAGGAGCCAACCCCCGCCGACTAGCCGGAAGCATCCTCACCCCAGCATAACCGGAACCGTTTCAATGGCGCCTGAAGCTGCAAGCTTCAGGCGCCATCGATCTTTTTCCGGAAGCAAGGCGTCCGTTAGGATTTTGATGACAGTTGCCTGCCGACAGTTCACCACCCCTGCCCTTATAATTGACGCAGGATACCCAGATTGCGGAGGTGAGCGGGATGGCAAAGGCGGCCGAGCGGCGCAGGACGGTCTACTACTGCCGGGAGTGCGGTAACGAGAGCGCCAGGTGGATGGGCTTCTGCCCCAGCCCCCAGTGCGATTCCACAAGCCCCCTCGTCGAGGGAAACGTCGTCCCTGCCCAGGCCTCCAGCGGTGCACGTCGCTCTGGATGGCTTGCCCCGGCTGCTACCGAGGCCCTTTCTCTGGCCGACGTCTCCGTCAATTCCCAGCCCCGCATTGCCTTGCCATCAAACGAACTGAACCGCGTCCTCGGCGGTGGTATAGTCCCCGGCTCGATCTCTTTGCTGACGGGAGAGCCAGGCGTCGGCAAGTCAACCCTGCTCCTGCAACTGGCCCACTCGCTTTCGTCATCCACGGCCTTGCCCGACGCTCGGGACGCTGGTCCGGTGATGTACGTCTCCGGCGAAGAATCGCCCGTTCAGGTGAAGCTGCGAGCCGAGCGAATGGGCATTAACGGCCAGGGTATTCTCCTGCTGACCGAAACCGACGTTGACAGCATTCTCGAACGATTGGAGAAGACTCAGCCGGGCCTCGTGATCGTCGATTCCATCCAGACCCTGCAGTGTGAGGGGGAATCCTCCGGCCCGGGCAGCGTCGGACAGGTGAGGGAATCGGCTCTGCGTTTGCTGCGTTGGGCCAAGTCCACTGGCAAGCCGGTTTTTATCTCGGGGCACATGACCAAGGATGGCTCACTGGCTGGCCCTCGGGTGTTGGGAGCATATGGTCGACGTCGTGCTCCACCTCGAGTCGCAGGACTCGGGCGGCTTCCGTGTGTTGCGGGCTGCCAAGAATCGCTTCGGCTCAACCGACGAGGTCGGCGTTTTCCTGATGGGTGAACGAGGACTTGATGATGTGTCCGACCCGTCCCGCGCCATGCTCTCGCAGCGGTCAGGCCCCCAGCTCGGCGCCATCGCCACCCCGGCGCTGGAAGGCAGCCGCGCCCTGTTGCTCGAGGTGCAGGCCCCTGACCAACTTCTCTCAGCTGCCCGCGCCGCGCCGTGTGTCCAACGGCGTGGACCACAACCGGCTGCTGATGCTCACCGCCGTTGCCTCCCGCCGCACCGGCCTCGAGATTGGCGCCCAGGACGTCATCGTCAGTGTTGCCGGCGGCTTCCGCGCTACCGAACCGGCAGCAGACCTCGCCATCATCCTGGCCATCGCCTCCTGCTACCGCAACGCGCCGCTGTCCCCCGCTGCAGCCTTTGGCGAGGTCGGCCTCAGCGCCGAAATCCGTGCCGTGCCCCACGCCCAGCGCCGAGTCAACGAGGCCGCCCGCCTCGGCCTCACCCGCTGCATCCTCCCCCAGTCCTCCCTGCGCGAAATCGAACCCCCAAAGGACATGCAACTGATCGGCGCCGAAACAGTGGGCCAAGCCATCCGCGCCGCCCTAACCACCCCCCAGGACGAGCTCGACCTGGCATTCGCCGACGAGTGATTTTTATAAATTCCCCGCAAATCCCATATAGAATTCCTTACATAAGGGACTTACACAAGAGGGGTCATCAGTTTTACAATTTCAACATACCAAATATGGTATGAGGTGCAACATGGGAGCTCAACATTCTGCCGTGGCAGTTGCCGATAGAATCATCCACTTTTCGCTTGAGGACGAGATTCCCATAACGCCAATGCAAGTTCAGAAACTCACCTACTTTTGCCACGCTTGGATGCTCGGGCTTGGAAACGGACCTCTTTTTCAGGATGCCGTGGAATCTTGGCAATACGGTCCAGTAATTAGAGCCGTATATCACGCACTAAAACATCATCGAGCCAACCGCATCACAGAGCCGATATTGGACCGACCAGCGGGGTTTACTTCGGGGGAAGAGCGGATTATCAGGGCCATTTGGCGGCAATACGGCCAAATGGACGGTACTCAATTGTCTCGTATGACCCACGCAACTGGTTCACCGTGGGATAAGACCTACAAGAAAGATAAGAAAAGTCAAATCATCCATAACCATGTCATCAGGGATTATTACGCTGCCCTAATTGAGAAACGGAGGGCGGAGTGAGCATAGGGTCGCTGTATCTCGGTGGGGATGACGAAGAGGAACTGTTTCGACTTACCACCCCAGATGAACATCCTGACTCGAATGATGATAGGGTGGCTAGATTGGAAGAGGAATCTCTAGCCAGCGGTCATTATGATGAAGATCAGGACGAATCAGACGAAGAAGCCGACGCAACTCTGTTGGAGGTTGCCCTACAGGAACTTTCCGATGACGAAATAGCAGCAGTTGCCCAGTTCATTGAGGAAATTCAGAACCGTCGCGAGATCGACGGCGAACGATGATACAAATGAGGCGGCGAGGACGGTTGGCTACAAACTATAGTCGCGCCTACCCGTCCCCGCCCTGTAGCGCCGCCTCGTGCTCGTGCGTGAACTCGTGGTCCTCGCAGGCCACCCACCGGGAGCCGTCCTCGTACACTTCCTTTTTCCAGATGGGAACCACTTCCTTGATCCTGTCGACGGCCTTGTGGCAAGCGTAGAACCCCTCCTTGCGGTGCGGGGAACCCACGGCGACCACCAAGCTGATCTCGCCGATAGCCACCGTTCCGGTGCGATGCCCGATGGCCACATCGTCCAGACCGAACTCGGCCATCAGCTCCTGTCGCACCTCTTCCAGCTTCTTGACCGCCATCTCGTCGAAGGCTTCGTACTCCAGCGTCAGCACACCCTTGCCCTCGAAGTTGTCGCGGGTCGTGCCCAGGAATGTCACCACCGCACCATTGGTGCTGAGCCGAACGGCCGAGGTGAACTTGTCCGGGTCAAGAGTCTGGGAGGTAAGCTCGATCATGATTTCCTCGCAATCGGTCCAATCTGTGTCGGAAGACCCTGGTGCAACGGGGGTTAGCCGCCGCTCACCGGCGGTATCAGGCAGACGTCGTCTCCGGGTTTCAGCAAGTCCTCGGGCTCGGCGTAATCCGAGTTCACCGCCACCACGATCTTGACGTCCGGCGGAGCCAGACGCGGGTACCGCAGGCGCACCGCATCCGTCAGGTCGGAAACGGTGGCGCCGCCAGGCAGTTCCAGCGAGAACACCTTGGTGCCGGCTCGTTCCCGGTAAAGCGCGAACAATCGAACAGTCAGTTCCATGCCCTGATTGTAGCCCTTGCGGTCAACCGCGCCTAGTGCATTACCAGCCCGCCGTCGACGTTGAACGCCTGCCCCGTGATGTTGCGCGCGCCCGGGCCTGACAGGAAGCGGGCCATGGCCGCAATGTCCTCCGGCGTGTTGGGGCGGCCAATCGGAATTCGCGAGTCGCGAAGCTGCTCCAGCTCGGCAATGCTCTGACCCGATGTATCGGCCCGCCCCTGCATGGTCTCGGCGGCCATCTCCGTCAGCGTCGACCCGGGACAGATGGCATTCACGTTGATGTCGTGCTGCCCCAGCTGGTGCGCCGCGATCATGGTCATCGACAGCACCGCGCCCTTGCTCGCCGCATACGCAGCGTTCGACGTCCCCGAGTACCCCTTGCCCGCGATTGAAGCGATGTTCACAATCCGCCCGCCGTCGCCCTGCGCGATCATCTCCCGCGCGGCGCGCTGCATGCCGAAGAACACGCCCTTGGCGTTCACCCGGTGGATCCGGTCCCAGTCCTCCTCCTCCACGTCCATCACGTACAGGTAGCGGGTGATGCCGGCGTTGTTGACGATGATGTCGATGCGCCCGAAGGCGTCCTTGGCCTGCCCGATCATCCGGTCGATGTCCGAAACGCTGCCCATGTCCGCGTGGATGGGCAGGCACTCCCGGCCCAGCGCTTTCACGGCGACGCTGGTTTCCTCCACGTTCTCGGCGTTGATGTCCGCCACGGCCACGTTGGCCCCCGCGTCCGCCAGTTGCAGCGAGATGGCCCGGCCCATGCCGCGCCCCGCGCCGGTAACCACCGCAATCTTGTCCTGAAGCTCCATAAGGGCGCGCCCTCCCGGTTCAATTCGAATTTGGAAATGAAATCAGTCAGATGCCTTTTCGCTTGCGGAAGAGGCCTCCTCAATCTCAGGCGAGGGTATCAAATTGGGAAAGCGAACGCGAACGGCATTGTCCCAATCCACGTAATCGAAAGAGTCGTGCGTCTCCCAAAACAGGCGCTCCTCGCCTTCGGTAGCGAAACTCGGCAAAGGTTCAAGTTCTCGGCTCATTGTAGACCGAGTTTAAAATAAGGAATTGCAAAGTTCAACGCGACGGGTTCGGTAGTCGTCATGGGACTGGTTCTAGTCCCTGACAATTCTCGTGCTAGAATTGCACATTCATGGAAAATTCTTGGTGCGAATTGCCGTTAATTCTTGGTGCGAATTGCCGTTATGGAAATGCACTCTTACTGGAAGCTGACTGGTCTAGTGGAAGAGGAGGACGGACTGTTTGCCTCCTACTGTCCCGAGCTGGGAACAGCCAGTTGCGGCGACACTCCCGGAGAGGCCCTGGCAAACCTGAGAGAAGCTGTCAGCCTTCACTTGGAGGGACTCGCAGACGTTGGCGAACTCGAGCGTACACTAACCGAGCGTAATATCCGAACCAGACTTTCAGAATAGCCCACGGGAGGTAAACCATGGCACAGGCCAGAGTCGACACCATCGTCCGCGGCGGCCAGGTCGTTACGTCGTCACAGGTCCTTGACGCCGCCGTGGCGATCCAGGGCGACAAGATTGTCGCGGTGGCACCTGAGCACCTCCTGCCGCCCGCTGACCGCGTCATCGACGCCGAGGGCAAGTTCGTGCTCCCCGGCCTCATCGACGCCCACGTCCACCTCGACGGCCACGACGACTACGCCCTCGGCGCCCGGGCGGCTGCCCACGCCGGCATGACCACGCTCATCCCCTTCGCCAACTACACCCTCGACGGCGACGAGACGCTGGTGCAGGCCGGTAACCGCATCCGCGAGGAGATCAACGCCTCCGCGGTCGTCGATTTCGGCTTCCACTTCATCCTGCAGAACCGCCCGTCCATCCTGCGCTCGCTCCCCGAGGCCATGGACATGGGCTTCAAGTCCTTCAAGATGTTCATGACCTACAAGAAGCGCCCCGGCCGGATGTGCGACGACGACTACATCTGCCAGTCAATGGAGATGGTCGCCCGCGCCGGCGGAGTGCTGCAGCTCCACTGCGAGAGCGGCAACATCATCGAGTACCTCGAGAACAAGCTCATCGCCGACGGCCACACCCACCCCGAGTTCTTCCCCGTGGCCTGCCCCGACTGGGCCGAGGAGGAGGCCATCAACCGCGCCATCGCCATGGCCGCCGCCACCCGCTGCCCCACCTACGTCGTCCACCTCAGCACCCAGCTCGGCCTTGAGCGCATCAAGCAGGCCCAGTCCCAGGGCCAGCGCATCTGGACCGAGACCTGCCCTCAGTACCTGCTCCTATCCGACGCCGAGATGAGCAAGGTCGGCCCGCTGGCCAAGATCGGCCCGCCCCTGCGCCCCGAGGACGGCCCCGACCGCGACGCCCTGTGGGCCGGCCTGCAGCAGGGCCACATCTCCATCGTCGCCAGCGACCACTCGCCCCACCCGCAGGAGCTCAAGAAGCCCGGCTGGGACAACATATTCGTCACCCCCGACGGCGCATCCGTCCCCTTCGGCTCACCCGGCATCGAGACGCTGGCCCCCCTGATGTACAGCGAAGGCGTGGTCAAGCGCGGCATGCCCATCACCTGGCTGGCCCGCGTGATGGCCGAGAACCCCGCCCGTATCTTCGGCCTCTACCCCCGCAAGGGCGTCATCCAGCCCGGCGCCGATGCCGACCTACTGATCCTCGACCCCGGCGTAGACCGCGTCATCACGTCTGAGGACCACCTGAGCAACGCCGGCTACTCCCTGTTCGAGGGCTGGGAAATCACCGGCCGCCCCTGGATGACCCTCCTCCGAGGCCAGATCCTGCTAAACGACGGCAAGCTCGAACAGCAACCAGGCTACGGCCAGTTCATGGAGTGCCAAAGCCCCACCACCCCCCTAGCCGGCCCGGTGAGTTAGGGTGTGCGCCCCAATTTGGTTCAACCGAGGGCGACCAACGGGCGTTGCCACCTTAATTAGCAGTTTTAACCTTGCTACTGTAAGTTTAATCGCCATCTTGACCCAACTTGCAATTACTGTAGCGATTGACAGGCGATTGGCAAAGGACTTACAGTTTTCGGCATATTACTTGCAGTTTTGAAATAGGAGTGCGCCACTAACGCTATGGTGGATGAGATTCTCAAGTGGCAGGAGTTTGACGTAAAGCTGAGTCAAGCCTTCAGCCCCGCTACCGCGATCATTCGCGGTGATCTATTCCAAGGTCGTCGAGCAATAGTAAGGCGGCTAATAGACGCCGTAAATCAGGCTGGACAGCACGCGATCATCTACGGGGAACGAGGGGTAGGCAAGACTTCGTTGGCAAACGTTCTAGCTAGTTTCCTGGAGCCTTTCACCTCGGAAAAAATTATCAGCGTGCGAGTGAATTGTTCTAGAGAAACTTCATATCGGCAGATCTGGGAATTCCTGTTTCGTGAGCTAGGACTGACCCTACCGGAAAAACCCGGACGCACTACACCTGAAGACGTATTCAACACGCTCCGAGCAGACGAAGGAAGAAAGCTAATTCTCATAGTCGACGAATTTGATCGCTTAGGAGATCCGGATGTAGACACGCTTTTCGCCGACACCATAAAGACCTTCTCGGACTTTGGCTTGGACACTACACTGATCCTAGTCGGTGTGGCGGATGACGTCGACGACCTTATAGAGGAACACGAATCAATTGACCGTTGCCTCGTGCAGATTCATCTACCGCGTATGCCTTTTGAAGAGCTAGCAGAAATCGTTAGAAAAGGAGTCACATCGGTGGGGATGGAAGTGTCTGAGGAGGCGGCATTTAGGATTTGTACCGTGTCATTAGGCCTGCCACATTATGTTCACTCGTTGGGGCTCGCATCCGGCAGGTGCGCGATCGATAACAAACGATTGCTCATCCAGGGGGAAGACGTAGATAGCGCAATTAGCGCCCTCGTCAACGAATCCCAACAGACGGTTCTAAGGGAATTCGATCTGGCAACTGCTAGCCCTCGCAGGGACAACTTTTATTTTCAGGTTCTGTTGGCATGTGCTTTGGCACCGACGGACGACCTAGGTTCGTTTCGAGCAGCAGACATTCGCTTACCATTCTCGCGCATAATGAGACGCGAAATGAAAATCCCGACATTCGCACGACACTTGCACGGCTTGAGTAATGACAGCCGAGGAGCTGTGCTACAGCGCCTCGGAGAACCTCATCGATATCGGTTTAGGTTCTCCGATCCATTGCTGCAGCCTTACGTGCTCATGAGAGGGCTCCAAAGCAATTTACTCACTCTTGAAGAGGCTGCTTCTTTTGCTTCTAGTCAGAGCGAATCTAAGTCATTTGAATATCAACCTACATTAGATATTCACTAACTGGCTATTGCAGAACAGACCGAGTCTACTAACCGCTCGGCACCTCTCGCATCTCGCTAATTCCCTCACTCCCTAAAAATGCGGCATCACCTCGTCGCTCATCAGCCTTAGCGAGTTGACAACCCGGTCCGCCGGAATCTGCCCCCCGTAGTTGACCTCCATCACCACGCCCGTCACACCCAGGTCCTCCTGGTACCCCTTGATCGTATCCACGATCTTGGCGGCAGTGCCGAAGACCACGCGCTCCTCCAGCACCTGCTCGTACGGCGCGGCGGCGATGCGGCGCATCCGCTCGGCGGTCTCCGGGTTGGCGGCGGTCTGGATCAGCTCGGTGACAGCGTACTGGATCGCTCCCAGCGCGCTGACCCGCGGCTCCTCGTGGGCCCTCTCCGTCGTCTCTGCGCAGTACACCGGCACGCGGATGGCGATGTCCGGAGTGCCCGTGAAGCCCGACTCCGCCAGCTTTTCGCGGTAAGACGCCAGCCGCTCTTTCAGTGCCTCCCGGCCCGTGTTTGCGCTGATGAAGATCGGATGCCCCATCGCGCCCACCAGTGGGAACGTGTCCTCTCCGGCCACCGCCACCCGCACCGGCGGGTACGGCTGCTGGTAGGGCTTGGGCGTCACGGTCACGTCGTGGAATGAATGGTACTCGCCTTCGTGAGAGAGGCTGTCCTCGCGCCACGCCTTCATGATGATTTCCAGCGCCTCCAGGAAGCGGGAGCGGCTCTCGGAATAGGGCACGTTGTAGCCCTGGTAGTACTTGGTCAGCCCGCTGCGCCCATGCCGAAGTCGAAGCGCCCCTTGCTGATGTGGTCCACCGTGGCCGCCTCCTCGGCGACCCGCAGCGGATTGGTCAGTGGCAGCACCTGCACCGCCAGGCCGGTGCGGATGCGCTCGGTGCGCGCGGCGATGGCGCTGGCGATGACCATGGGCGACGCCAGCACGGCCCGCTCGGGACTGAAGTGGTGCTCAGCCAGCCAGACGGTATCGAACCCCATCTGCTCGGCCTCGGTGACCTGGGTGAAGGACTCATCGAAGGCCTCGGCCTGTGAATTGCCCCTGCGTACGTGGAAGTCGGTGAACATTCCGAAATTCATCTGCAATCTCCGGAAAAACCTGCTGCTCAAATTTTCGCACTAAAGGCGAGTTTATGCGCCTGCAGTCGTATGCGTCAATTCAAACCCTCGCTGGCGCCGTTTTCTCCAGCGAAGGCACCTCATCCAACCGTCACACCACCCCGCTCCGGCCCCCCAACGGCATAAC